CCGAGCTGCGGGCGGGGGAGCTTGCCGAGTTCGCGATCACCGTCACCGCCCACCACAAGGGGCACTTCGTCTTCCGGCTCTGCGACCATCGCCTGGACAGCCAGGCCGGTGGCTACCAGGCGCAGGAGGATTGCCTGAACGAGCACGTCCTGAGCCGGGCCAGGCCAGAGGAGGTCCACGCGGACTGCCAGCGAGACGACCCACGCGGCGATTGTCAGCCCTACGACGAGGCTAATCCTGGACATTGGTACCTCCCACCCCATAGCGGGTCCCACCTCGACCGAGCGCAGCACCGCTTCCACTACTGGATCCCCGCCGACCTCACGTGTGAGAGCTGCACGCTGCAGTGGTGGTGGATGAGCGCGAACAGTTGCACGCCGCACCCAGACGCCTACAAGTGCTATTTCCAGGAGATTCGGATGCAATTCCTGGGAGGTCAAATGCTGACTTTGCCCTGTTCCAGGACCTGGTTTCATCCGGCTTATTGCCGCTGAATCCCGCTTACTCCGGCTTGATCCCGCTAAATCCGCGGCCTAAGCCGGCGTAGTAGCCCCACCCCAAATGGGGCTTAATCCTCCTCAGGCTTTCCGACGAAGACCTCCCAGTAGTTGTTTTCGAAAGGAGATGGAGCGGCAGGGGTGGGACGCGCGCGCGTGGTGCGATGGCGTGTGCTCCTACCAGGGCGAGTGCCCAGCGGAGCAGAGCGCCCCCGTGCTCTGCGGCGAGCAGTTCAAAAACTGCGCGGACGTCCGGGTGGTGGGGGGCGGAGCCACCAGGGGCCCCACGCCCGCACCAGCGCCCACTCCTGTCTCGGCGCCGACCGGCGCGCCGACCTCCTCGCCGACCGCGCCGGCAGGCAGCGCGTGCGTGCAGAATCTGAACTGCGCCGTGAACGACTGGTGCGCCGATTCCACCTACGCCGGCTGGTGTCCGCTGCACCCCGCGGGGGACTGCCCCTCGCCGCAGTGCGTCGCGAGCAGCCCCGCGCCGTCTCCAGAGCCAGAGCCGGGGCCCGTGCCGGAGCCCGAGGGGAGCAGGCAGCTGGTCGCGTTCGTGGAGAATTGGTTGCCGTGCCCGAGCCTGGAGAAGGTCGAGGGCTACGACAAGGTCATCGTCTCCTTCGCGGTCAGCTACGCATGGAACCCTGTGAAGAACCAGTGCGATCAGAGCTGCACCATCGGAATGCCCGCCACGTGTGACAACCAGGCCAAGCCAGACCTGATCGCGGCGTGGCGGCAGGCGGGCACCAAGGTCTTGCTCTCGTTCGGCGGCGCGGGCATGGGCGGGAGCTGGGCGGGCGACGTGAACGACTGTTGGGAGCACTGCTTCGGGAGGGTGGACAGCGTGGTGAGCCGCCTGGTGGAGATAATCGACAGCCAGG